ATTCTAGGAAGTTCTCAGTAACTCCTAGGTTGAAAACCGAGCGGTGCAGGCAGTCCCCAATGGACGGTCACTCTCGTCCCCTAGTAACTCCTAGGTGGTAAAAACCGAGCGGTGAAGGCAGTCCCCGATGGACGGTCACTCTCGTCCCGTAGTAGCTCCTAGGTGGTAAAAACCGAGCGGTGAATGAAGTCGCCCATGGACTGTCACTCTCGTTCACTGAGAAGTTCTCTAGAAACTCCTAGGTCAAAAACCAAGAGCTGAGGAATAGTCACTCTCATCCGAACATCTTCAACCATTCAATCATCCGGCCATTCGGCTTCACAGTGCAAATAACAAGATCATGCACACAAATCACTTGGTCATTCAACCGTTCGGTTCAACCTTGCCAGGAAGGTTCAGTCAGATAACAGGATCTTAGTGTCTACTGCTTAACATGGGAAAAAGAACTCTCATTAGTCGCCACTAGGCCTAGAGTCCCCCGTTCGATCCAGAGTAGAGCAACGACTTAAAGCACATTAAAAACAACCTCCCCAATACAATGGGAAAGATCTCTCTCAAGCTTATATAAGTCCTATAGTTAACCTAGGCTAAAGCCGAACGATTAACTAGGACTTGGGGAGCATATGTATGGTATATAGTATAGACCGAACGGTTAACACCCATGATCGTTCGGTCCATCCGTTACATCAACAATGTTAGGCCATAATTGGGCCAACATTTAAGTTATAATTGGGCCAATAGTCCAGCAGATGATAAAATAATCAAAGATATCTGATTAAAAATATTGATAAGTCGTTTATGAGTAACTAACCGAATTTAAAAGTAAGTTTGTTTTTAAACGCTGGGCCAATTATAGCTCAATATTGTTAATGTAGCGGATGGACCGAAACGAGTGTTAACCGTTTACTATATACCTTACAAATAGTTTTCTTCAAAACCAACACTTTGTTAATAATTAAAATAATTGTACAAGTATTTCATCTTTAGTAATTGTCACGTGTATCTATTGAAACTAAAATTATACCTTCAAAGAACCACTAACAATTTTAAATTTATAAAGTGAAAAATAAAACTTCCTTTTTGCATATTAATGTTAATTTTCGCTTTAATAAAAACTTATAAAAATTACTAAACCCAAACACATGTTCAATTATCTTATCCATTAAAGAAATTTAAATAAAATTAAAAAAAAAAAAAATTACACCAAGACTATAAGACTGTAATTTATATTCTTTGCACTAAAAATGAATATATCATGTTATTTTGAACAATCTATTTAGCATTTTAAATTATATATAGTGATTTAAAATTAAATTATAAAAAAATGACAAATTAATTAAATACAGAGGCTATGAACAAGTTATACAATTAATGTTTCAAAAAGGAATATGGTAAAACTCAGGTAGATTCCTGATTATTTTTTTATTATTTTCTTAAATCAAATAATGACATCCATTTATTATATTTTATTACAATTTGCAACGTGCATATTCTTAATACATACTTTTACCATTCAAAGAATCAATGATGTATCATTATACTAATTTAAAAATTTAGTCTAAGAATATATGAATTTTAATCTAAAATGACTTATTATGGAGATAATTCTGTTTACGTGCTTTTCTTTATTGTAGTTGATACCTTCTGATAGGGTGGAAGATATGTCAGTACCAATCACTATTTGTCATGTTTTTACCATTCTTTGAATTCATGATGATTTTCAATATTCTTTTGTTGTTTTGCAGATAGTGGTGAATAATAAAAAGTTAAAGCACGTGTTATGCGAAAGGAAATGAAAAGGTGTTCTTAATGAAGTTCCAGAATGCCTTGCCGACATCAAGCAGCAAAAATGGCGACATAAAATAAAACTGCACTGTTGTCCAGTAACCGTGAGTGAGCAGAGAGGTGACAGTGACATCAAAACTAAAATAAAAAGATTGAAGAATGTCGGTCATGCCTTCTTCACATGGGTGAAATGTAAATGAAAGTTGAAAGGAAATGTCTTATAAGAAATTCATGTAAACCATCAAGGTCTATGCTATTTCCAATCTTCTTTTCTTTTAAATTGGCTTATAACAATATTTTTGTTTATATAAATTAATTCAAATTTATTAAATTTTGAATTTTTATTTGAATAAAGTATTTTATTTATTACTAATATTAAATATAAAATTTATTTTTAATTTAAATTAATCGAAAAATAATTTTATCAATATTGTTCAAAAAAATAATCTGAACGTTACTCTCATTAATATTGGTAAAAGATAACCTAACATTTAAAATTAAATTTAGCTGATATCAATAAAATAATCTTTATATCATTAAAAAAAATAAAGCTAATTGAAACTTATATTAACATAAAAAACTTTAATGACGAGTATCAATATTTAGATAATTCATTGTCATGACTTATACTCAATAAATTATTATTCAATCCATTAATTAATAAAATATTACTATTGTATTAATTAATAAAATATTACTATTGTATAAAGAAGGTGTGAGGCTTACCTTGATAAGTTCTTATGCTTCTACCATGTTGGTCTCTTCTAAACATGACATTTCCTCTTTTTTTCAATTGTAAGTCTAGGAATGCAAACCTTTCTTTTGACATGTTTCATGAGCATCCACTCCTTAGGTACCATGATTGGGGTTTCTTTTGTTGGGTTGAATATATTCATAGTGGAAATTAGCAAAGACTTAGGTATCTAAACTTCTCTTGATAAGTGTAACAAATTGCACAAGTAATATAAAATGGTAAGACCAATTATCGTATCCCTGAAGACTCTCGACACTAGACAGTTGTGTGATAACTCAATTAATTAAGACTTAAATAAAACGAGATTGTTGGTTTCAAATGCAAAGACATAAAATTAAATATGAATGCAAATTGATCAACAGCAGAGTAACACAGAGATGAACGGAGGTTGTTTATAAAATGAGATGATTATGTTGTTAGGGTTTGATTTCACCAAGTTTACTCTCATGTATATAAGAATTCTTCTTTTTACATTAATATTAACGTCACTCACTAAATTACTTAGAACCCGATCCCTCGGCACAATAAGCCTGCCTTAATTCCTAGTTCGTGCAATTCCTAGTGTTCCTAGAAAATTAAGTCTGAAGATCAAGAGCTTAAGACGACCAAGTACTCATACCCTCATCCCTGAGAAATATTACCCTTGGGAGAATTCAACAAGAACCTGAATTGTAAGGAACCTCCCGGCACTCATGCAATTCATAAATCATGCTACTAAATGAGTTAAATAGAGCAAGCATTGAAACAGATGAATTCCCTAATAATCAATGAAAAAACATATAAATTAAGAATCAATCAAAATACATGAGAGTTCACAAGGTTACATCATTCCCCAACAACAAATAGAGTTTAGTTCCCCATAGACATGGAGAAACTAGATGAATAATGGAAAAGCATGAGATAGTGAAACCCTAAAAGTAGAAGAGGAAGCTCCCGCCTCCAGATCTACCTTCAAAGAGTAGAAGAGTGTGTTGTTGTGTTGCTCCAGTTAGAGATACCAAACCTAGAGTGTTTGGGTCCTTTAAATAAAGTTCGAAAAGAGTAGAAACAGGGTCAGGTCCAAAAGGAGTCGAAACAGAGCAAAAACTGGGCCGGATCTGCAATGCCCGACGCTCGGGCGCCCCATTTAGGGCGCCCGGGCTGTGGACGTCGATTTTCTGAGGCTCAAGCCTCGGATAGGGCGCCCAAGCTTTGTGTGGTTCCTCCTTTTGGTGCTTTTCCAGGCCTTTCTGGGGTCTAAATCCTTAGCACTTCATCTCTGCTTTCCGCGTTCTCTCATTACCTATCAAAATAAGGGATATTAGTCATAAAATCATCAAATTCAACCTCAACTCTCTTATTCACACAACTTAATGAAAAATCATGAGTCCAAGCAAGTTTCTAAGTGAAAAAGGGTGTATTTAATAACAAAATTACATCACAAATAACGGTATTTTCAACCGTTAACACTACTCCATCATGAACAAGTCAAAAGTGGACATTAGAAATAAAGAAGAGATTTATGGAATGTTCTCTCCTTTAAAAGTTGTGTTGAAAATTTCGTACAACCTACTTTAGTTAAAGTACTGCAAAAGACATGCATGCTCTAATACGTTGACTTCAACCTGTGACTTAACGTGTCAACAGTAGTGAAACCTTTTTTTCCTCTATTATGAGATTTAACCCACTTTAATAAAATACCAAAAAGCCCTTTATTGAAGTGAGAAGAGAGGGATTAATTTTAATAACTCTAAAATAAGTCCTATAACTTTAATACCTTATATGCTAATAATCATCACATTAAAATCTATACATCAAAGTTATACTTTAAATTACATGAACCAATTCTTAAATTAATATAATTTAACATTCTCCCACTTGGTTCATGTGATGACTTGAAGATCTAAAACTAAACTTTTAGTGTGCACCATTCATTAGAATTATCAAGTCATCATCCTTATATGAATTGAAATGATCAGATCATGGTGGGCAAAAGTCATGAATGACAAGATTCCTTCCATGTATCATATAATCAAACCAACTCAACATAACTTTAATCAATCTTATAACTTTCATGTCCCTAAAAGAGATATAACATGTTACCACAATCAATAATACATGTATATAACTTAATGTTGATAATAATAGAATAAAGAGAAACATAACTTTAATTGAATTCACAAGTGTCATGACAATACAAGCATATAACTATACATATCCATATAGATAGATAACATCATCATGTTAATATTGACTTATCCATAATGCCCATACTTTCAACATGGCCAATAAAAGTTTTGGGCAGTAGTCCTTTAGTTAACGGATCTGCTATCATCAAATTCATACTACTATGCTCAATCAACACTATGTTTCTGCACTTCTTCTTTGACCGACAAGTATTTCAAATCCATGTGTTTAGAACCCTTTGAGTACTTGTCATTTTTAGAGAAGAAGACGGTTGCAGAATTATCACAATAAATCCTTATTGGTCTAGCAATACTGTCAATAATGCCAATCCTTGATACAAAGTTCCACAACCACAAAGCATGAACCGTGGCCTCAAACCATGCCACGAATTCAGCCTCCATGGTGGAAGTAGCAATGACTGATTGTTTTGCACTTTTCCAAGAATTGTTCCTCTAGCTAATAGATAAACATACCCAAATGTGGATTTTCTTGAATCCACACATTCAGCATAGTCTGAATCCGAGTAGTCAATCACTTCGAGATGATCTGACTTTCTATAGGTGAGCATGTATTCTTTGGTACCTTGTAAGTACCTAAGAACTTTCTTTGCAGCTTTCCAGTGATCCATTCCGGGATTACTTTGATATCGGTCTAACATTCGAACATCAAAATTGATATCTGGCCGAGTACAAGTTTGAGCATACATCAAACTCCCAACCACTAACACATAAGGAATGGACTCCATGGCCTTTCATTCTAAATCATTCTTGGGACATTGCATTTGACTAAACTTGTCCCCTTTTTGAATTGGAACTACTCCACGAGAGCATTTTTCCATTATGAATCTCTCTAATACTTTGTTAATATAGCCTTTTTGAGACAAACTTAACAATCTTTGTGATCTATCACGAAATATTTCTATTCCTATCACATAAGATGCCTCATTCATATCTTTCATTTCAAAGTTGCTAGAGAGAAACTTCTTTACATCATGTAACATACCAATATCATTAGCAGCAAGAAGAATGTCTTCAACATATAGAACCAATATAACAAACTTACTCCTACTGATCTTTATATATATACACCGGTCAACGATGTTCTCTACAAAACCATATGAAATTATGATATCATTAAATTTTAGATACCATTGTCGAGAAGCTTGTTTCAGTCCATATATTGATTTTTTCAATTTACACACCAAATTTTCTTTTCCTGTTATTGTGAAACCTTCTGGTTGGTCCATATAAACTTCCCCTTCTAAGTCACCATTCAGAAAAGCGGTCTTTACATCCATTTGGTGAAGCTCTAAATCATAATGAGCCACCAAAGCCAAAAAAATTCTCAAAGAGTCCTTCTTAGAAACAGGAGAGAAGGTCTCTTTGTAGTCAATGCCATCCTTTTGAGTGAAATCTTTGACAACTAATCTAGCTTTATACCTTTCAATATTACCTTTTGAGTCATGTTTACAACCGATTCTTTTTGAACCCTTAGACAATTCAACTAGATCCCATACTTTATATTCATCCATTGATTTCAATTTTTATTTCATAGCATTCAACCAATTCTCTAAATTATTACTTTCCATGGCTTATCTGAAAGAGATTGGATCCTCATCAATGCTTAAGTCACATTCATGTTCAACAGAGTAAACCACATAATCATACGAAATAGCAGGTCTTTTCTCCCTTACAGACCTTCTTAATGCCACTTCTTATGGTTCCTCTATCAATTGCTCATTTATGACTTGTTCATTTGTGACTTGCTCATTGTCAATTGGCTCAATATTTATATGTTCATTTTATGAGATTGGAACATTAACTTGTTGTCTCTGCTTGTTGTGTGACTATGATACAACAAGAGGGATAACAACTTCATAAGAGACATTAGATGTAGAAACACTATCAGTATGCTCTTGAATATCCACTATACGTGATTCCTCACTCCCACTAAATTGACCATTTTCAATGAACCGAGCATTTCCAAACTCAACTATTCTTATACTATGGTTAGGGCAATAAAATCTATATTCCTTTGATTTTTCAGGATAACTGATGAATTAACCACAAATGGTTCTTGCATCAAGCTTCTTTTCATGTGGATTATATAACCTTACCTCTCTTGGACAACCCCAAACATGAAGATGTCTTAAACTGGGTTTCTTTCCAGTCCATAGTTCATAAGGAGTTTTAGAAACTTCTTTGCTAGGAACCATGTTAAGCAGATATACAGCAGTCTTTAATGAATACATCCACAAAGATAAAGGAATATTACTATGACTTAACATACTCCTAACCATATCCATAAGAGTACGATTCTGCCTTTCTGCTACACCATTTTGTTGTGGTGTATCGGGCATTGTATATTGTGCATATATACCCCGACTTTCAAGATACTTTGCAAATGGACCTGGACATTGTCCACTCTCATCAGTTTTACCATAATATTCACCACCTCTATCAAATATCACCACTTTTACTTTTCTATCTAATTGCCTTTCCACCTCATTTATGAACACCTCAAGGGCGTTCACTGATTGAGATTTTTCATGTAATAGATATATATAACAATAACGTGAGAAGTCATCAATAAAGGAGATAAAATATTTTTCACCACTCCAAGATTTAATGTCAAAAGGATCACAAATATCAGTGTGTATTAACTCAAGAAGTTGACTACTTCTTGTGGTGAGATATTTTGATATGTGTTTTGTTTGTTTACCCTTAATACAATCAATACATACATCCCAGTCATCAAAATCCAATTAAGGTAAAATTTCATTTTTCACTAACCTCAACATCCTTTCTTTGGATATGTGACCTAATCTTTTATGCAATAAGAAAGCAGCACATTCATTTCCTACACTACATTTTCCATCAACAACATGTTCAACATTAAACAAGGATTCAGAAAAATTAACATCAAGATTTAAACGATATAAACCATCCAATAATGTATCAGAACCATAATAGTACGAAAGTTTATACAAATGAAAAATACCATTTTCAATCTTAAAGTTAAAACCTAAATAATCCAACTTTGCAACAAAATTAAATTCGTAGAACAACCAGGAACATAGAGACACTTTTCAAGATTCAGACAATAACTAGTGTCTAGAATCAATCTGTAAGACCCAATTCCTTCTATTCGTGCCTTCAGATAATAAATACTTTTTAGTTCCTTTTATGGGCTGGATTGAAAGGAATCCCTACATAATATTAGAAACATGAGTGGTAGCTCCAGAATCCAACCACCAAGTATTATTAGGCACTTCAATTATATTTGCTTCAAAACTTACAGAAACATAAAAAGTACCTTTCTTTTCAAACCAAGATTTTGTTTTCAGACAATCTTTCTTGAAGTGCCCACTTTCTTGTAAAAGAAACATTTCTGGTCCTTCTGGATACTGCCCTTATTCACTTTCATTGGGGCTTTGTCATTCTTGTTCTTCTTTCCTGATTTGGCTTTACTGAAGCTAGCATCTTCATAGTTGTGAGATGGATAGAATGATCTTTCATTTTCTTCAATCTCCCTTCCTCTTGTACCAACATGGCTTTGATTTCTTAAAAGTTCCATTTATCTTTAAGAGTGTTATAGTTCACTTGGAACTGGCCAAATTCAGGAGGAAGAGAGTTCATGATGAATTGTACTAGAAAAGACTCATTCACCTCCATTCGCATTGACTTCAATCTTGCTGCTATATTAGCCATTCCAGTTACATGGTCATGTATGTGCTGCGACCAGTCAAACTTTTTGGTAGTCAGCTCACTCATAAGAGTTCCTACAATACACTTGTCAGTTATGTCTGATTGTGAGTACTCCTTGATCATTTTCATGAATTCCTTCGTGTTTTCCGTTTTAGGCATAAAAGGGTTTACATTTTCTGCCATAAACATGCACATCAAGTTTAGTGACAGCCTGTCAGACCTATGCCAAGCCTCATAAAGATACTTCTCATCACTTGTACTGGTCTTTGTAATGGCTGCGGGCATTTCATCCATCATAATTGCCATATCCAAGTCTAACACACCAGTTGGAACTGAATTTGTTCTGACCAATCAACATAATTTAGCCCATTAAACTAGACCACATTGTTGCTCAAACCTGATAAATTCATGTAAGCTGGAAATAATACACAAGCTCATACATTAATGCTTTGATAAAATTAATGGATTCAAACAAATTAATACACTAGTCACACATTCAAGTTCACCTTTGGGTGACACTTAAACTGATAGGTAATCATTTAAGTCATTCATTTAAGTTCACCTTTGGGTGATTCTTAAACTGACAAATTCCATATATACTTTAATAAACAATCAATCATACTTAAGTCTATATGTATGCTATCTTTTGACATACAAACATATTTACTAAGTACATGAAATGTCTCACTTTAATGTCATCAATTCTAAACAATGGTTCACCTTTGGGTAATCCATAACATCCTTATAACAATGACCAATTACTATATATTCATAATTTAACATCCTTTTTATTATGAATAATTTTCATAATACTTCTTCAGAAGTTGACCACATTGTAAATACACACTTCAATGAAATTTCAAAATAATGCATCTACATTCTCCTAACGGTGTTTTTGGATTCAAAACACCATAACATGAGCAATTTAAAAAAAACAGCGGAATTACCAAAATTTTTAATTTTGATTAGAATTATAACTCACTCGAAATTCAACTTAATTGAATTTTCTTCGTCCAAGTTTAATTAACAATTACATATAATTCATAAAACAAAACATGTCATGCGTGTCAGTAGATGCACTTTTCTAATTAAAAGCATTCATAAGTGTAAAACCTTTAATTCGCATACGCATTCCAACCATCTAACATAACTTTCACTTTTAATTCACAAAATAATTTCCATGCAATGCACAGTGACAATAACACATTCTTATTTTTGTAGAATAAATATAAGTCGCAACAGTAAAGTTGCTTTACTGTTAGAACAAGTGTCACAACAATAAAGTTGCTTTATGGTGACAACCAAAATTAAAAACATGCGGCTTCCTGGATCAAATTAACGTAACAGTGAATTGAATTTTCTTTCATGCCAATCAAAAACAATTAATATCAAAGTAAAATTAAACATCTGAAAATTTAAAAATCCCTAAATTTTATAATTAAAAAACTAGGGTTTCTATAATTAAGAAAATTACCATTCATGGAGAATTATAGAATCCAAAACCTGGTTCTGATACCACTTGTAAGAAATTTTTATGATTTCAATTAAATGAAAACTTATAGGATCTTGAATTTCATGTTTCTCACTATTCTCACACACATAGTAGAAAAGGACTTACCTGGATCCATTGTATAGTTCTTTCTTGTCAATTGTTTTCCCTTCTCTTACTCCTTTTTTTATGCTTTCTTGATGATATAGAAATTGCCAAGGATGTTTTGCTCTACCAAAGTCACAGTTTCTTTTTCTTTCTGAGAATGTTACTTTTCCTCTTTCACTTTTCAGAAACTTAATGTGTCAACAGAAGTAAACAGTTTTTTCTCTTTTATTATATTTAACCAACTTTAATAAAATACCAAAATGCCCTTTATTGAAGTAAGAAAAGAGAGATTAATTTTAATAACTCTAAAATAATTCCTATAACTTTAATACATTTATATTATAATAATCATCACATTAGAATCTTTACATCAAAGTTATACTTTAAATTACATGAACTAATATTAAATATTAATATAATTCAACATGCTATAATGAGTTG